TAATAATAATTACTATCGTTATGTTATTACTACTATTCTTGTTCTGAAGAGAGAGGGATGTTTTGGGGTTAGGAGCACGGCTTGAAGTTGGAAGGATAGGGGCAAAGGGTGCATTTGGAGGGGTGGTGGGTGTGAGGGGGGGGGGGTGGGGGGTGGGGGGACTGGTGATGGGTATTTACTTTAAATGGTTAACATTGAACATAGCCTTCTGTTACCCCAGTGTTTTTTTTGGAGTTAGGGCTGATTTACCTCTTCTTCAGCGCCTCTCTCCCTCCCCCCCCCCCCCCCCCCCCTCACCCCCTCACCCCCCGTTTTTCTTGGCACCGAATGAAGCACTTGGGGGGGTGGGGGGGGGGGTGAGTGTGGACTGGTGAAATGTTCCTCTCAGAGTAACATGAATGGTGAGACTGAGCTATCACTGGGTGGGAGGGGGGGGGGGGGGGGACACGTCGGATAAACTGCAACCGGTTGTATTTCATGAGTGTGAATATATACCGTAGAGTGGACTTCTCACCCCCCCCCCATCACGCCGGTCTCGCCGTGTCGCTCACTCGCTTCTCTTTATATACTACTATATATAATATTAATACGAGTGCCACAGTGGGAGTAACACGAGTTTTAAAGGGACAATTGAACGGTTTTAAACTCCGGCGTTGCTCTCTCTCTCTCAGTCGTTCACAACGAATCGGTGCCTCCGCTTTAAAATGCGCCACTGTTTTCGCAAAGATCGCTTTAAATACGATGGTTTGGGTTGTTTCATTAGCAAAATTATATATATATATATATAGTTGAGATTATTAACCCCTTGCAGGAATGCTGTCTGGCAGAATAGTTTCCCAGTCGCCTTGAATTCCTCACAAGTCGAGGGAGAGAGAGAGATACTCAGCACTGCAGAACTTATTAACGGGAAAACGCGATTTTTTTTCATATATACCGTAATTAAAATCGGATTTCAGATAATCATTTTTTTAAAAAAAACCTCCCAGATCACGAAAGTACAATCAGTATCACACAATCAGCCCACATTGGGGCTACAGTCAATTCGCTGAAGAATATATTGTGTGAAGAAAGCGTTTTGAGGCGACTGAACAACGTGATAAGGCGCTCCATCAAGAGGGCAATACGGATTATTATCAGAGGAATAACTCCAATCACGACGTCCATTTCAGATAGTGGGAATCGATATGAATCACTTTAATATTTACCCGCAAAAAACCCAGTGATTTTAACAGAATTCATTTCACTCCATGAATTATCTTCGCCTCGACAGATTCAATTGTTTGTTTGGGTTTATTTTATTATTCTATATTTTTATTTTATGCACAGTATATATATATATATACACCCAGCCCCCACTTCCCCCCCACCCCGCCACCCCCTACATACACACACACACACACACACACACGCTTTTTGGGGGATAGAATCTACACAGAGAGCAAAAGTCTATACTGATAGTCACAACATAATATTCTCTGTCCCCAAAGAAACTGCGTGTGTAGGGGGGGGGGGGGGGGGGGGGGGGATGAGGTGCAAACAGCAACCTATTTATGTGTTGGGTTACAGTTATTGTCAAAAAAAAAGAATGAAATTGTGTTCGAGTACCTTGTTGGTAATCTAATTATGAGCTGGATCATAAAATAAAACCATTCTTGCATTTGTATTTGATTCAGAAGATAGGAATACACAAAGACAAATCTCTTCCAATTTCCATCACCCCCACCTCCCTCACTAAAATTGCTTTAAGGGAGTTATCAAACTGTACCCCCTACCCCCCCCTCCTCCCCCACTTCACCCTCTCCCAACCCAGATTGCAAGTGGTGGTGGTGGGGGGGGAGAGAAAATTAACGGAGAAGGATAAGACAGATAAAGATAAGACAGAAAAATAAAATAAGATAGATTTGTATCTTCCTTCTACACACAAACTCATACATCTCTATCTACCCCCCCCCCCCCCCCCACACACACACACATTTTCTCCCTGTATTTATTGCCCCCTTTATTTCACTCCTCTTTATTTTTGTTTTTTGTCCTGTTTTAGTTCTGATTCTAATCAACTGTATTTGCCGGCGTTGCCCGGCTCTAACCCGCTGTTATTAAACTTCGATTTTTTTTTCTTTTAATCTCACCCCCACCCCCCACCTCGTCCTTTGCAATTGACAAACAGGCGATAACACCTGAATAAAATACCGCGAGCACAAATTATAATATAATAATAATAATAATTGCATCGTGACAAGAGAGATACAGATCAAACGAAATCTGGGAGGCATTCTTTTTATATCTTTCTAGCAGTTTGGCTTCTTACACTGAGTGCAAACTGCTCGCTGCATTTTTTTTTGGAGTGGGGGGGGGGGGGGGGTGGATTGACAGAATAGGTAAGGACAGTGTGAGTGTGTGTGTATGTGGGGAGGGGGGTCTTTGTAGCGTTGAAACACCCAAAATCGAACGAAAACCCAGTGAGCCCACCTCCCCCAATCTTTCACTGCAACATTCAACCACATCTCTGCCCTTTACATCCTTTTTTAGGCAAATTTAATTCCGCCTACAAATAGTTATGTGTTAAACTTAACCCCCCCCCCCACACACACACACAGGAAAGAAAACTGAATGTGCATTCAAACGTTAGCAATAAACCGTATAATCCCCGAGGTAAACATCACAACCCCTGTTATTTTCCCAGTATAAAATAAAATATTTTGCACCGAAGTGCTTTGTAAGTACCTATCGATTTACTGCAGTGAATAACACACCCACAGACACACACACACACACACACACACACACACACTGTTTTGTACGCTACAGACGAGACTGTGCGGCTGTACTTTGTATTAACGTACAAAACCTGAGCTCAGGGAAAGTTATTTGATCAGTTGTGCTTGTATTTTGATTTACGACACTGTTTTCCAGGAGAGCCAATGCAATCGACCCAAATAATAACGATTTGCCTCTCTTTTTTTCTTTTGCCTGGGCTGAATATTTGCGGGTACCCCCCCCCAAAAAAAAACCCTAGCTAATACACCACGTTTTCGCTTTTTTTTTCAAAAAAACCCAAATTAAAATCCTAAATTGTACCCACTAGATGGTTTTATTTATCAGCCGACACAATCGCCTGGAACTCAACCAGCAAGAGGTTCAGGCGGAGTTTGAGTTAACGTTAAACTTGGCTGTTGTTTCTCTATTTTTCCTTAGAAAAACACACACAAATATCTCACGTCAACACTCCTCTACCGCTTTTGTGGGGAGATTTGGTTCTTAATGTGCCATTTCAGCCCAACATTGTGATTCCTGTCCCAACGGCGCTATAGCAGCAACAATTATTTAGCAAAGAGGCAAAAACAACATAAAACAAGTACCTACACTCTTTCATATTCATTTTAAACACAACTACAAATTCTCTCTCTCTCTCTATATATATATATATATATATTAAAAAAAACAGGTAATGCGAATGGTACCGAAAGCATTCGCAATATCGCGCTGAGTTTAGCGAATGCAACTTCAACCGATCTACTGGAATTAAGCCTTTGCTTAAGAACCCAAACATTGCTCAGCGTTTTGTCGGTCTATCATATGTCCCCGTTCAGTGCAGCACAATCTTGTGTATGTCAGCGCAAGAAACTATTATTTTTATTTATGTGTGTGTGTGTGTGTGTGTGTATTTTTTACAGTGTGTGAAAACTTTCCTCGTTTCATTTGGAAAATCTCTCAATTTGTTTTCCCCCTTTGATTTTAAGTGTCAGCGATGGCGAGTGTGGAATTGGTGGGTTTTAAACCATTTATTACCAAACCCTCTGAGCTGTGGGTGCATTTGCTAACAGTGCCTGTAATTGCTTTCATTACTGTGACCAAAAAAATATCCCACTCCTTTCCCCTTTCCTCCCGCATTTCCCCATTTCCATACCAGAATATCCAGTTTCTTCTAGAAACCTCTGGGCTTAATTTTTTTTAATAAAATAAAATCGATTGGCCTGGTGGCATCCCACTCCTGAAATGGATATTGCTCATTCAAGTGACCTCCCCCACATTCCGTGGGTCAGGTACCCACAGCTGGCAAGACCATGGCACAAGAACATGTCTCGAACCTTCTAACTTTCACTTCAAGAGAGTAGTGGAAATCCGGATCTCTCTTCCCCCCCACTCCCCCCCCCCCCCCCACCCCGAAAGGCGGTGGATCCTGGATCGGTTCAAATTTTCAAGACTGAGGTGGATAGGTTTTTGTTAGGTCAGGGTATCAAGGGATATGGGGCGTAGGCGGGTAATTGGAGTTGAGGTACAGATCAGCCGTAATCTAATAGAGCGGTTCAAGGGGCTGAGTAGTCCAGTCCTGTTTCCTATGCACCAATTACACCATTGCCCATTCAATCTGAGTTTCTACTTCAGTCGTTATCATCAATAGTTAGATGCCCTTTTCTCCAGTTATTGACTCTGGTTAGATGCCTGATTAGCTTTCTCTTGAGATATTTGTCCAATTCCCTTTTAAAAGCTATTACTCTCAGTTTCAAAAGTCACATTATGGCCAGATATTTCACCGTCTAATCAATCCCTTTGTGGAAAAACACCTTTTACTGTTGCTTAAATTGTGAAATGGAATAAAGAGCACATCCTGGTGAGGCTGAGGAATGGCTTGAAGTCAAAAGATGCAACCAAGGTGTCAGCTTGGCTCATTTGGTAGCACTCCCGTCTCTGGATCAGAAGTTTGTGGGTTCAAACCCCATGTTTGGGTCAGTCTGAGATGACCCTTCATTGTCAGAAGTGCTGTAGTAATAATAATAATCATTGCCATTGATAAAGCGCTTTATCATGTCTTCGAGACATCTCAAAGCGCTTCACAGGAAATACTGTAAAGTGAATTGACTGTATATTTTGTGGACAAAATGCAGCAGTCAATTGCGCACAGCAGTGCCTCACAAACAGTCATGGGTTGAGTGACCAAATTATTATTATTTTTATGTTGCAAGAGACATTAAACCCACATTTCCTCTCTTGTTCATCAGCTGTTTCTTCTGCTGTCCTGGAGGGAAGATGTGATAAATCGAGAGATAGTGGTTAGTTGATGGAAAATGTGGGTTTCCAAAGCCCATGGATGAAGGAGTGAAGACGGAGGTAGGTGAGGATTTCTATGGTTTTCCGATTCTGAGGAAAAAATGAACTGGAGGAGGAGATGACGGGTTGAGTGTAAACTTCCCTGAATGAAGGTGATAATGTGAGCAGGGTGGCTTATCTGTATGAGAAACAAGAGGCAAACACTCAGGGAGTTAATGACCAGGCTAATCTGATTGAGCAAGCAAATGAGAGGATGTTACCAGCCCAGATAAGATCAGACCAGGGTGAAAGTGCATGTTTTGCAGGTTTGATCCCTAGTAAGATTAGAGCTATCTTAAGATGCAGCTATAATGATGTTTACACTGGTCACTTCGAGCAGAACTATCCGAAATTCTGAGAAATTCTAGAGCGCTATTACACACAGAAACACTTTGCTTTTCAAGGTTTCGTCCACAAAATACAGTCAATCCACTTTACAATATATTCGGTGAAGCACTTTGAGTCATCTCAACAATGTGATAAGGTGCTATATCAAATGCAAGTATTATTATTTAAACATTCATAACATAATATTTTGCATTCTTTACAGCCTTTTATTTACCATATCTCTAACCCCACAGGAACAGCCCTCAGGGGTAAATCATGGTGCCTCTGGGCTTAAACAATGGCCCAGTCATATCTCCGATCAGCCAGCCACCCTTCAGGCCTGCAGATGTTTTGCTGTGTGAATCAAACACAGTGAACACAACTTACACTAGTTTATATCATCCTATCATTGCAATTCTCCAAACCCTGAATCACGTTTATATCATTAAACCTGTCTCATGTTATAATAGAGCCTATTCAAAATGTGATACATTTTTCAGGTTAAAGCACCTCAACTTAAAGCCCGGACGAACCTACATTTAATCTTCAGACACGTCTAATCTTTCTCGTAACTAGCCTAGGTATGAATGATCCTGTCATTAGCCCTATGAATGCTTTGGCTTGTGAAGAGCTCCAGCTATTGATTTCGCCCTTTCATCCTCTCTCACTTGTCTTTGTGGCCGTCTCTCTCTTTGCACAATTCTCTTTCATTCACAGTTCTGCTTCCTAACCTCTTTGTTGCACCCTTGAAAAGCCCCGTTCAAGTCATATCCTCATTAATGGGGCTGACAAATTGGGTGATATGGCAGTTCTCTCTTGTTGACACTCAATCTGTCCCAGACCGTCTGGATCAGAAGGTTATGGGTTCAAACCCCAGGTCAGGTCACAGTCTAAGCTGACAGTCTGGTCTGGTACAGTCCTAGGGTAGGGAGGGGGTATATTGGAGATGCCGTCTTTCAGATCGGAGGATTCAAAGTAACATTGGCAAAGGCCTGAGGAGGGAGTGGGTGTGGGACACCCTCTTGGGCACAAATGAAAGAGGAGCAGTGAATCAGGAGTAAAAGTGTGGATAAGGCTTGGGCTGAGTAGAGGATGCTTTATTCTGCATTTAACTCAATAGGCTCCTTTGTGGATGTTGATATAACCTGATCTCCTAGAATAAACCAGTTACTTGGCGATAATATAATAATAATAATAATAATCCTTACATTTGATATAGCACCTTATCACATTGTTGAGACATCTCAAAGCCCTTCACAGAATATACTGTAAGTGAATTGATTGTATATTTTGTGGATGAAACACGGCAGCCAATTGCGCACAACAGTGTCCCACAAACAGTTATGGATTGAATGACCAAATTATTATAATTTTTTTTTGAAGGGATTATTACCCACGGAAAGCGATCCACCAATCGACCACCACCAAGTTCCTACTTACTGCTGAGTAAACAGAAGTGTGTGGAGTAAGGAAACTTGCCCAAGGTTTCGTGTTGCCTAGGAATCGAACCCATGTCCTTTCGTTTGCAAGGTGACTGCTGTATATAGAAATAATAATGATAATAATCCTTGCATTTGATATAGCACCTTATTATGTCTTTGAGATGCCTCAAAACACTTCAGTATACAGCATTGAAGCTGGGTTTGATTCTAGTTGAAGACAGTGTAAAGATATTAGCTTAAATGGAGGGAGTTCATCATCTTTCTTCCATAGGATGAGGAATGAGGAATGCAAGCCTGCATATAAATCGTAGACTTGCCATCAAAAAACAAATCTTTCTAATATTCTGCATGACTTGCATATGTTTGATCATAAATGAGTTAACCTGCAGCAGAAGCTTAATACACAGTGAGATTAATAGCACAGGCTGGTAGGATTTGAGGAAATGTATTCATGGCAATCGATGTGTAATGGAATCAATGTAATGTTTACGCTGTATCTCTCCTAGGGTGTTAGCGATGGAAATCCCTGAGGTTGTTACAAATGGAGATCGCGTGTGCAAGCAGCCAAATCTCATCCCAAACCTCATCTTCAACAGAATTATCCAAACCTTTCTTCCACATCGTTCAACAGCAGAGCAGTTATCTGTGGCCATGGGTGTAACTAGACCTTATCCCTTGGAGGCTAATTCTACTGCGGGTTCATTTTTGTGACTACGAAACTGTGCAGGAGAAAGAGCGGTGTTAAAACAGTCAAGCATTCCGGAGGCACAACTGGAAATAATATGAAATACTGTACAATAAATGAGAAAAAGGGGCTATTTTGATCCGTTAAGCACCATGAAAAGAGAGGAGATCTTCCGTTGTGCTGTCTCAGAGCAGTTCCGTCCAACTTCAAGTTCACAGTTAAAAGGAGAATGCTCTCAAATGTGGGGAAATATTAGACCCAGTTGCTAATTTATTGATCATTTTATCCTCTTCCTTTCTTTACAAGGTTGTTTTTTGGCACGTGCATCATGAAAAATGATCCACATTTTATTTCAACCCCCTGAATTCAGAGTTTAATGGGTTTCTTGCAATAATCTAGGAATAATTTAACTGCGTTGCATTTAAAAAAAACAATTTCAGTTCGTGATAAATGGCTAATAATACCTCCGAAAATGTTGTGCTTTTACCTTTTCCCATTTTTGTTCTGTAAGTTTGTTTCCCTGAATCAACTTCTTGTGGGCAAAACCACTACTGGGGAGAAATTCCAGTTGAGTCTCGCTTTACGTATTATTTTAGAGGGCTCCAAATTTGGCAGATTGTTAAATTCAGTCTTAACTCTGACGTCATTGCTTAGGTGGATCTTCTGAAAAGAAACTTACAGAAAAAGGATTTCAAAATCAAGGCAGTATTTAAACATGTGACAAAGTCTAGATGGTGTTAAATGCTCCGTAAATACTGTACAGCTGAATAAATTCTTCCTGTCTTCATATTATTGCGTGGACAGATCCACAATCAAGCTCAAGCCTTTCCTCAGAGGTCCCTTGCACTCTGGAATGCCACCCCACGTGAAGGGTGCTACATAAATGCAAGAGGTTGTTGTCGAGACCAGCCATTTTGTGATTGAAGAGCAAGTAATTGTGAGAGATTCTGATGGGAATAATCACGTGCATCATGTTATTATAATTTCCTCAGTTATAGGAACAGCAGAGGTCTGAAATTATATCTTGGCTCAGTGTGTAAGACCATTTTGTGTTAAAATGTAAGATTGTGCAGAATAACAACAAATTCTCAAATCCGCTTTTTATTCAGAAGCTTTTCGCTTTTTTAAGATCTGTGGAAAATCGGCTTTGAAATTCAGATTGAATTTTTTTTAACGCAAGAGTTGGCACAAGCACAGTGGGCCAAATGGCCTCCTTCTATAGTGTATTATTCTATGAATTAGGGTGGGTGGGGTGGGGGGGGGCGGCAAAATTCTTTATAAGTGCTGTGTACTGGATACTGCTACCAAAGTTACTCACAATAAATGTTAATTTGAGTTGCTTTATTTTTTTGAATGCTTCAGTAAGAGACATCACACTTTGAAGCTAATAACATCTGCTTAAAGCAATAACTGGTAATCTTCACGGATGTTCTTAGAAGCACTTTTTGTGAACAACGGTCGAGCCAACCTCATTATAATCATTAGAGGTGATCCACATTTCTTTGAAGGAAGTCAAGCAGGTCAGGATGGAAGCACCAATCCAGACTGAGTACTTCCTCTCTGGGGGGGAAATAACTTTGACAGGTATGGCTGCTGGAGCCAAAGACTGTATCTCCTTAAGGAGTCGTTCATCCAAGCCCTGGAAGAGAGTGGAACCACCGGAAAGCAACATATTGGAGTACAGGTACTTACGTACATCTATATCACATCTCAAGATACTTTTAAAGGCCAACCTATGGACCCCAGGACCTTCGTATCCCAAGCTGGCAGGAGTGAAAAGTATCTCAGGCGCTCTGAAGAGCTGACTGTGGATCTTGATGACATTGCCATCGGGCAGCTTGTACTCCTTCTGGACATCTTCCAGCCTTCTCCTCATCTCCAGGTAGGGATCGATCGCCACGTAGCAGAGTTTCTCCTTGATGTCCTTCACGATCTCTCTCTCGGCCGTGGTCAGGAAGGAATGGCCGTTCTCCATCAGGATCCGAACCAAGTAGAGGGTGATGTCTCTGCCGGCCAGGTCCAGGCGGAGGACGGCGTGGGGCAGGCAATACCCCTCGTAGATGGGGACGGTGTGGGTCACCCCGTCGCCGCTGTCCAGAACCAAACCGGTGGTGCGCCCAGACGAGTACAGAGCCAGGACGGCTTGCACCGCCACGTACATCGCCGGCACCTTGAAGGTCTCGAACATGATCTCGGTCATGGTTTCGCGGTTCTGCAGGGGGTTCAGGGGGGCTTCGGTGAGCAACACCGGCCTCTCGGTGGACTTCAGGCGCAGTTCGCATTCGTAGACGTGTCTCCAGATCTTCTCCATGTCGTCCCAGGAAGCCACGATCCCGTGCTTGATGGGGTACTTGAGGGTCAGGATGCCCCTCTTGGCCTGAGCTTGCTCCCCGATGTAATACTCCTTCTGCCCGGCCCCCAGCATGGTAGCCTTGGCCTTGGGGCGACCCACGATGGACGTGATGACCGATCGCGGGGCGTTGTCCCCGGCTATCCCCGCTTTGCAGAGACCGGAGCCGTTGTCGATGATCACCGCGGGGTTTTCCAACGTCTCCATCCGTCAGTGATAATTAGCGTCGAGGCCCCCGGGGGGTGGGTGGGTGGGTGGGTGGGGGGCGGGTGGTGGTGGTCCTTAAGAAGGTCTATAGGTGAGAAGATCCCGAAAGCTTCTCTGGCGGCGAGATCACAGCGCCAGGGATGCCCTCTCCCTCTATGCGCGCATAAGGGGGTTGGGGGGTGGGGGGGGGGACCTTGTGTCAGAGGTCTTGACCCCCAACCGTACCCTAGTACTCATCCCCTCTCCATTGTTACGCAGGGTGACACAGTCAGATACGCAAATGACACCCCCCCCCCCCCCCCACACACACACCCACACACACCTACACACACACACCACCCACACGTGTGTGTAGGAACGTTGTATAGCGATGGGATGGGGAAGGGTCCCTCCCTACCTGTTGGGATTGAGGTTGATGGGATTCGAGTTGATGGGGATGGTACCCACCCAGCGGGAAGATGTCGCGCGGGGGGGCGTTGACGGAGGGTCTTTTGTTTGTTGAGAAGGGGAGGAAGGAGAACTTGTAACCGGACGAGGGCATTGCAGTAATAATAATAATGTAATGTACTTAATATAATATAATAATACTCCTTCCATTTTGATATGGCGCCTCATCGGGGCGCTGAGCTGGCTCACAAAAGCGCTTCACGGAATATATTGTGGAAGCGGATTGACTGTATTTTGTGGGTCAAACACGGCGGCCAATTGCACACAGCAGCGTCTGTCCCACAAACAGTCGTGGATTTGAGTGATCAATTTTTCTGAGGGATTATTATCCCTGGAAAGCGATCCGCTAATCGACTAACAACCGGGTTCCTACTTACTGCTAAGCAAACAGGCGTGCGGAGTAAGAAAACTTGCTTAAGGTTTCTCTCCGCCCGGAAATCGAACCCGAGGTCCTCTCGCTTGCGAGGCAAGCGCTCTATCCAATTCACTACAGGACTCCATGAAGACGATCACCAGAAAAGTTAAAGAGGTTTTGAATATTGGTTTGAATATTGCACGCAGGTAGAAGTTGTGGGATGCTTTAGAAAACACTGTGGTTGATGGTTAGTAGCTTTAACAGCTTTTGAAAAGCAAATTCGACAAATATTTGTTCAGCCAGGAACTTTGGCTTACAAGCTGCGTGACATGTCCGGATCTCCAAGGTTTAATGGTGAGTCAAACAACCAATTGCTGGCTTCTCACAGCTAAGAACGATAGTTACAGGGATAGTTACAGGAATCAACTTCTGTTTTTGTTACAGGGGGACTTTGTTTACCCCCCCGCTCCCCTTCAAGGCTATTTTTAAATTGTGTTCTTCTCATTTCATTACCCTTAAAACTGTCTGGATTGAGTTGACCGTCAGGACTTGAAACCTGTCTGAACACTTTGCACCCAAGTTCATTTTTCAATTCACCACGTCCATTTCGAAGACCTATGGAATCAAGGAGGGGGAATGTGAACACATTAAAACTGTATCAGAGAATGTACTCCATTTGTGCATGTTTCTTTTCCAGATTGGCCACCAGCTAATCTACAAGATTCGACCAGTCTACACCTGAATTCAGTCACACCATATCATTGTTTATTGTGCCAAAATAGTGAATTTATTCCAAGGGGCCGTTGTGCAGATGTGGATGTTTTGGACACTGAAAACATTATTGTGAATGGGCCTCTAACTAATTTCAACCCATGGGACTTCACTATTCTATCAGAAATGATATTCCCAGGGGAGTGAGCACTCAAAGGCATAGCAGCAGATGAAAGACGCAGAACATGTTTCAATTAATCCCCAAGAGAGTCACAATTAATAAGTGCAGTGGCAGGTAAAGTGTACAATACATGTTTCAATTTCTTCATTTGATTTTTCTTTCTTGAACGACATAAATCTACAACAAGAACTTGGATTTGTCTTGCACCCTTTCATGTAGGATTACGCCTTGGGAGTGCTTTACAAAGACAGGGTTGAACGCCATACAAGGGAGAGCGGAAAGCCAAGACAAAGAGATAGGTTTTAATGTCGGACGTAAAGACAAATGGTGGGGGAAAGATGGAGGAGTAGAGGCAGGGAGATCCGGAAATTAGGAGAGTCAAATCTGAAGGCTCGGTCACTAATGTTGGTGCGGAGAGGACAGGTGAGACACAGTAAGCCTATGTCTACACACAAGATAACCAACACTTTGTGGTACCAACTCTCAGAGTACTGGTGATTAGAGAACCTCACTTAAAAGTGGAAAGAGCGGGGGAATGAGACTAATTGGATAGCTTTTTCAAACAGCCGAATGGCCTCCTCCTGTGCTGCAGGATTCTATGAAAAGTTCTGTGGCAAGAAAGCAGATGTTTTGCTGAATGATTGGAATGGGATGGGTCTGGGAAGGTACAATATATAATATATTTTGCTGGCGTTTACCTTATTCCGGTGCTCAACCTTGTTGAAAAGGCAACATCTGTAGCCACTAAAAGTATGGATTAAAACCATTTGCAACTGATAGTTAAAATCGTGCATCAGAATGCAGGAGGTGGGGGGGAATCAGTGAAGGTATCAAATGCATTAATTGTGACACTGAGACTCTGTGCAACTAAACAGGTTGCAGTCTGTCTTGTCTTAACAATGTGCAATTATCTGCCACAAACCACAGAAGAGGTGGAATCCCTCGTTCCCTTTTAAATGGAATTAGCTAGACGCTCGGGAAGAGGACTATTAAAGGGTGCAGGGAATGAGCGAGAGGTTCGGAATAGATTAATAATAATCCTTGCATTTGATATAGCGCCTTATCATGACATCTCAAAGTGCTTCACAGAATATACAGTAAAGTGGATTGACTGGGTTTTGTGGGCTAAACGGTGACTATAGTGTGGGGAATCACCTGCACAGACTATGCTTTAGGGGAATCAAGGTTCTGCATGAGGATTGATCATATGCTGTGATTGCTAAGAAACACAGAAACAGGAGTAGGCCATTCAGCCCCTCGGGTCTGTTTTGCCATTCCGTAAATCATGGCTGATCTGTACCTCAACTCCATGCTTGCCCCATACCCCTTGATACCCTGACCTAATAAATATCTATCCACCTGAGTCTTGAAGATATGAATAACCTCTTGTGTGGAACCTTATCAAAGGCCTTCTGAAAGTCCATTTTGGAAGGATTTAATTGTGATTTGAATGGCGAATTTTCAAAATAAGCAATCAGGGTGAAGATGTGCGCGTGTGTGAGTGGGTTGCACTGTGGGTGGGGGTGGGGTATGTGTGTGTGAATTATATACATATATAGATAGAATCATAGAATCTTACAGCTCAGGAGGTCATTCAGCCCATCGTGCCTGTGTCGGACCTTTGGAAGAGCGATGCAACTAATCCCCCTCCCCTGCTCTTACCCCATAGCCCTACAATTTTTTTTCCTTTTCACATATCTATCCAATTCCCTCTAGAAAACTACTATCGAATCTGCTTCCACCACCTTTTTAGGCAGTGCATTCCAGTTATTGAAAAGACAATTGACAATTCATACCAACTTTGACGTAGACAACAACAGATCGGTGCTAATTTTCCTTCTTCCAACACATAAACGGGGGGGTGGGGAGCAATGTTATCACCAGAGCCTCTGTAAGAGTTTGGATACGTTTATTATCTTTGAGTTATAGTTTGCTTGTATGCACAAGGGAATGGACTTTGTCATTGACTGGTGTGGCTTTATGCTCTACATCTGTGTAGAGTGCATTGTGACAGTGTGATTTATTTTACCCTTCAATCTGACTAAGCAGTGACTTTTATATTTCATCACAGCTTCAAAGGGAACACGTTTTTGTGGTTCTGGGATTTCCTCGTGTTCATGCCAAGACTCGGCAGCCTTGCTTAAATGTTAATAAAGACAAGGCTCCTTCCCACCCCAAGCATGCGACTTCCTGATTAAGGGAATTATTTTTCTTGTGCATGTATTATGGTGCAATGTGAAATCCCAGCAATGTGTTTGGAAATGGGAAACAGCTGCTGGGAGAAAATATGTATTAGGGAAGAGAAGTGGCGTTGCAATAATAATGAAGATGAACCCTGTTTTGTATGGTGAGATTGATAAGGAATATCGGAGACATACAATCCGCCCAATCTTCGGAGTAGACATCCCATCCGGATCAAGTTTTACTCTATTTCTCTTAGAATTTCAAAGTGTTATTTTGGCAAACTGTTGATTTCAGGCTTAACTTTGAAGCCGTTTTCTCTGCAGTTCATTAAAAGAGCTTTATGTGTGTCAGCCTTGCTCAGTCGGTAGCACTCGCACCTTCGAGTCAGAAGGTTTGTGTTTTCCAGCTACACATCGGGACTTTGAACTCACAGAATGCGCTGACACTCCAATGGTCATTCACGGCTGTTTGTGGGACATCACTGGGTGCAAATTGGCTGCCTTGCTCACCTATAAAATGTACAATCACTACTACATTTTGCAGCAAATCTTGTGAAGCACTTCGAGACGTCCTCCTGACGTGAAAGAATCTATAACAAATGCAAGTTATTTATTTAATGCTGACAGCAATGTCATCAATGATCGTCAGTTAGCTATTTGTGGAGACATCAGAGCCAAGAACAGGTTCTCCTCCCTCACAAATATCCACATATTTTCCTTTAGACTTCACAGTAGATGCCTGATTGATTTCTCTCTCTCTCTTAACCAAGTGACACTGAGGCCAATTGTGACACCTTGGCAGCTATCCTGTGATCAACCACATCAGCACAGGTCAAAGATTGAACGCAGAAGTTCGCAGATTCAGATGACTCAGTCCCAAACTGAATGGTGGATTGTGCAATGGAATACAAAAGGATGTTCAAAAAATGCACCAGGTTTATCCATGAATTACCTTTAATGATAGGTCAAAATTGCAGTACGGCGAAATCCTCTCCAGCCCCTAATTATGGCTGGAATAGTTCATGAAATTATTATATGGCCCATTTTGCCCCCTTATTCTGAAATTGAATTAAAAAATACAAACGGCAAACTTTGCTGTGTTTTGCCATCAGCAACTTCAGCC